TATTCATCAAGAAATCATATAAAAGGTTTTCACAAAATAATATTGAGCAGCATTAGCATAATGGCTACTGATAATGTGACTTTGCCATCACACAATAAATGACATTTTTAAATATTTGAAAATATATCCATTAATTTTCCTTCAGTTTTGTCTCTATTTCAGAGATTGCAAGAGCAGAATGAACCGCCAACTAAACCAGCATTTGTTTTTTACGCAGCTGATGTCTTTCCAGCCACAACCCTGTATTGGGAAACACCCATACACACTCATACACTACAGAAATTTAGTTTATTCAAATCACCAATAGTGCATGTCTTTGGACTGTGGGGGGAAATCCGGAGCACCTGGAAGAAGCAAACTCCACACAGAAATGCTAACTGGCCCAGTCATGACTCGAACCAGTGACCTTTTTGCTGTGAGGTGACAGCACTAACCGTCACCGTCCCATCCCTCTTTAAAATAATTTAACATTTTTAGTATATGTTTAGGTCAAAAAATGCAGCAATTTAGAGCATAAGAATAAAAAATACTGACCAAACTATTTATATAGTAGTGAATTGTAGTTTGTTACATTCACATTGTCCTACAAATTATATACCAAATCTGTTTATCAATAATTCATCTTTCATTGGTTTCTTTTATAACCACGATTACTAGGGTTGGGTACTGAAACCATGCCTTACAACATGTAAAACGGGATCATGAAAGAAACATTCAAAAAGCAACTCAAACACCTTAATCATTTTATTATATTATTCAGATTAAGGCAAATAATTAGATCACTGATGTCTCAACCCTACCGATTACAAAGCAAAAAGAAATATTGCCATTGCAAGCATCACACAATGGGTAAGCAATCCATTTCCACACATAAACGCAGTTTGTTTTGAAAAATCAGTCAAAGAATGGTGCTAGCGTGAAGTCCAGTAATCTTTTTGCCTTTGACACAAGTACAGGTCAATTATCAATATGTACGATATCTACCTAATGAGATGTACAACTCGCTGTGGAGTCTGGGAGGCAGTTTAAAGTACATAAAATGGGCACTGAAGAGCCGTTCTGCTCAGGTGCCGCTAAATTGGCAGAGTTTCCGATCTACAGACAGTAAATCCACAGAAACGTTCGAATAATGAAAAAAGCATCACTGACAGACTCCGCTGCAACAGAAGCAGGATGAGGAGAGCTCTGACCCCAAAAAAAAACTAATACAAAGCAAACATTTTTCTTGTCTGGAAAATAATCCTTTCATTGTTCTGCAGCCAGATTTTGTTTTTTGACTTGTCTAGGCCAAAACAAGTTCAATTGAGGACAGTGTATGCAGCAGCCCTGTCGGTTTTGGTGTCTTGGGGATTGAGGGGAATGTGTGTGCCTCTGTACACATAAACAGAGCTGAAACTTCACAGGTAGGGAAGAAAAACTGCATTCGGTAAAATAAAACTGTTTAGACAACAATACGCTGCTTTTCCCCATCTGTTACAGCAGCTTTCTCTATCATATGTGGCGGGAGCTCTATTGACAGCTGTCAACATATCACACATAATGGCGGAATTAGTGAGAAGAGTCATGCATATGAAAGAGTGGCAGCTAATGTATATTCTCTCCCAGAGGGGAGAACCAAACAAGTGTCAAGCCGAGCCAAGGCTCAGTTAATGCAACCTGTCGGCAGAGAGTGCAAAACTCTCAAGTCCAATTCTCCACTTGTGATTGACAGCAGCAAGAGAGATGAGGAAAGATAAGGTGTCATTGAGTATATATGCATAGTAAACGTGATTGTGTTTGCTATTATTACGTAAATATATGAGGGAACAAATTGCTATGCTTACTACAGATCTTAGGTTTTAATTTCAGGTAGAAAACATTATTATACAAACCACAATAAAAAAAAGCATATTTATGAAAATAATATACACTACTAGTTAAAAGTTTGGGGTCAGTAGGATTTTTAAATGTTTTAACATAAGCTTCTCCTGTTCATCAAGGCTGCATTTATTTAATCAAAAATACAGTAAAAATTGTAAAATGTTATTGCACTATAACTGTTCAAAAGTAGTTCATCGTTTAATTTGATTATTTATTCCAGTGATTTTAGTTTGAAGGCTGTAGACTGGAGTAATGAAGCTGAAAATGTATTCACATGATCCTTCAAAAAATCATTCTAATAATAATTATTATCATTGTTATTATTTAATATCAGTATAGTAGTAGTAGTAGTAGTAGTAGTAATGGTAGTAGTATTATGGTAATAGTGATAAAAGCAATGACTGGAGTAATCATTTTATTGGAAACTACATACAATAAGAAAGCCGTCATTTAAAATTTTAATAAATGTAACAATTATTAAAATTACATTTAATTAATGGCACCTTGATGAACAGAATAATAAAAATTAAAATTAAAATGATCCAAAACTTTTGTTTGATAGTGTACACCTAAATATTTTAATTAAAACAATTTTGCTAATACTAACTATTTTGCAATGGTTTGTAAATGCACTTAAACCAAAGTATAATTCAGTTTAAATATAAATTCAAGAAAATTATTAATGAACTTTTGATTAGCAGAATTTTACATTTATACAAACATTTTACAAAAATTTTAATTAATGGTAAACATTTAGTTTATTTTCTTATTGAATACATTTCTTCATTTCAAATAATGCAGGTTTTTTTTTTTATTAAAATGTATTTCAGAAAATTTTTAAATAAAAATAGTAAAAAATTCGTTAAAAAAACTGATTTTTTTGGTGAAAAAATAAATTGTAATTTGGAGAAAACATATATTTAAAAATCATATGGCCTTTTAAAAGTTTCCTAAAACTGTAATCATTGTTAAACATTTAATAAATTATGGTATTATTTCTTATTAAAAATGGATTCCAGAAAATGTAAAATACAAAATAAGGATGAGCGATTAAACGAAAGTAATGGGAATCTACATTCAAACTTATAATCGATCTAATTTGTCCAGGACGATTTTTTTCAAGTACTTTCCCTAGCGCTAGTGGAGTCGCGTCACCCCGCTCTGTTAAAGGCTGAGGCAAATTTATACTTCTGTGGCCACATCTGATCTCTGGTAAAGCAGGACGATGGATCCATTCTTCTATAGAGATGCCTTGAAACAGCATATTTTCCATTACATTCAAATTATTATTTATAACAAATATTTGTTTACAGAAGATGCAATATAAAAAAATACAGGTAAAATATTATTTACAGGATATACACGAGTTATTTTGTTTAGAAGAGATGCTTATTTTCTACTTTTAATATGAAAAACCTTGAACATTATTCATTTTTGTTACCAAAGGTAAAAGATATTTATTTTCACTTTTTTATAAGAAAAAAAAGTCTTTAGTTTTAGGCAATGTGTGTTTTAATTTTAGTTGTTCAACGCAGATGTTCAATAAATAATCATAGATAGTTGATAGTGTGCATTTTCTTCAATTATTTTAAAATGAACTAATGCATCCTTCATTCAGAAATCTCTCACATGTAACATGTGAGCACATTTACTTTACAGATCCTGCCAGTGAACTATGTAAAAATATAAAATAGAATAATCGTAATAGAGTTAGAATGTTCAAATGTTCAATTAATTGTGATTTAGATTTTAGACCAAATCACACAGCCCTACTACAAAATCTGAATAATTTAAATGAAATAAAGAAAATTATTTGGAAAAAACAAAATGGAATTTGAGAAAAATATATATTTTGAAAACGTCATATGGCCATAGATAAGGTGCATTACTAAGCATTTATGGTAATCTGATGTACCTAAATGTATTAAATAGCAAATTATTGGGCAGATTACAAATATATTATAAAGTAGCATTAAATAAGTGTCCTTCATTGAAACATGAAGCACCTTATTATCCCTTTAAGTGTATTAAACAGTAATGAAAGTGTCTTCCCTCTAAGTACACTTATGTGTTTTGGTCAAACATACTTGTAATGTAAATGTAATGTAATGTGTATTTATATAGCGCATTTATTGTGTATGGCCATACACCCAAAGCGCTTCACAATCATGAGGGGGGGGGTCTCTCCACACCACCACCAGTGTGCAGCATCCACTTGGATGATGCGACGGCTGCCACAGGACAACGGCGCCAGTGCGCTCACCACACACCAGCTATTGGTGGAGTGGAGAGACAGTGATAGAGCCAATTCAGTGGACGGGGATGATTGGGAGGCCATGATCGTATTGGCCGATAGAGGGACTTTGGCCAGGACACCGGGGTTACACCCCTACTCTTTCACGAGAAGTGCCATGGGATTTTTAATGACCACAGAGAGTCAGGACCTCGGTTTAACGTCTCATCCGAAAGACGGCGCCCACTGACAGTGTAGTGTCCCCTTCACTTTTACTGGGGCATTAGGACTCACTTAGACCTCAGGTTGAGCGCCCCCTGCTGGCCTCACTAACACCACTTCCAACAGCAACCTAGTGTTCCCTAGTGGTCTCCCATCCAGGTACTAACCAGGCTCAGCCCTGCTTAGCTTTAGTGAGTAACCGGTCTTGGGCTGCAGGGTGATATGGCTGTGGCTTGAGCCACAGCCATATCTTGAATGATACTGAATTAAATTTATACTCCCGCAAGCATTATCTCCAGTTTTTCTTTTTAATAATATATATTGAAGATTTCAAGTACACCACAAATGTGCATTCAGTTCAATTCAATTAAATGAACATTTCCACAAGGGCTTTCTTAAATGTTTAATGAAAAACAGAATATTAGATATTCATTTCCAATCAACGTTTTTATATTGAAAAAAAAAAAAAAAAGAACTTGGGAGTATTAAGCTTGATCTAAATTCTAGCTAAACTCATTTTATGTGGCTGGCAAATGTGTGAGGCAAAAAGTAAGGTTTTGATAGCCTAATTGACACTCTTAACATGAGCTCCACGCTTTTGATATGAATCAGTGATATAGGGCGTCTGAGGTCATATAGAGCCTGGGGCAGAGTGCAGATCTCAGGGTAGGGAAAACACACTCACCATCATCTTCTCAAACAAGTCGACAATCTCCTTCTCTGACAAGTTCATGGAGCGCTCGTCGAAGAACGGCTGGGGCACAGGCAGCTCGGTCTGGGTGGAGATGGGGTCTGTGGGGTGCTGGATTAGAGGCTTCTCCTTCTTCATGCCTTGCTTTCGAAAACTTGTGATTCTGTCCCGCTGCAGAGACACAGTGAAGTTAAAGTTAAAAAAAACTAACAGGTGCTGATGTCTGAATTTATAAACACAGCACATAGTTAAAGTCAAAATTATTAGCCCCCCTGCGAATTTTGTTTCTTTTTTTTTTAAATATTTCCCAAATGATGTTTAACAGAACAATGAATTTTACACACATAATTATTATAAATGAATCATTGTAAATGTACTGATTATTATTTTTATAACTATTGTTTTATAATAAAATGTTGATTGTTAAACGTACAGTTTGTTCTGATCTATTTTGATATATATATATATATATATAATATGCACATACATATACATATATATGAATGTGATATATTGAATAATATATGATATATTAAATATTTTATTTATACTTATTAATTAAATATGTTCTTTTTTATGTAAGCCTTCTAAATTCTTTAGCAATGCATTTCTAACATTTGTTTTGCCAATACAGCAATAGCTGAATTTAATTGAATTTAATTGGAATTTTTCACACTATTATTTTTCTTCTGGAAAGTCTTTTGTTTTATTTCTGCTAGAATATTCTGCATCATTCATTCAGAAATCTGAATATGTGAGAATATTTATTAGACAAAACCTGCCAGTGAACTATGTAAAAACATAAAATAGAATAATCGTAATAGAGTTAGAATGTTCAAATGTTCAATTAATTTCGATTTCGATCGATCAAATCGCACAGCCCAACTACAAAATCTGAATAATTTAAATAAAAAAAAGAAAATTATTTGGAAAAAAATGTAATTGAATTTAATTCAATTGGAATTTTTCACACTGTTATTTTTCTTCTGTCTTTTGTTTTATTTCAGCTAGAATAAAAGCAGTTTTTAATTTTCAAAAAAAAAAAATGATGCAATTTTTTTGATAGTCTATAGAACAAACCATTGTTTAACAATAATTTTCTAATAACTCTGACTTGTCTAATTGACCTAACTAAGCTAGTTAAGGCTTTAAATGACACTTTAACCTGAATACTAGTATCTTGAAAAAATATCTAGTAAAATATTATGTACTGTCATAAAGGCAAAGTAAAAATAAATCTGTTATTAGAAATGAGTTATTAAAACTATTATATTTAGAAATGTCTTGAAATATCTTCTCTAATAACAGAAGGGCTAATAATTCTGACTTCAACTGTATTTCTGACAGTGGGAATTTTAAGAATGTGCAAGGCCTTCTGAAACAAAAACGTTTAATTTTTTTGACCCGGATGAGTGTGGCGTTCTGCCCTATGTGCAGTTAGTTAAGGAGAGGAATGTTAAAGTTTTGTCTAGTTTATAAAATGAGCTAATAGGCTTTAATTATGGTGGTGGTTTGCAGGAGGAAGAACATTCGCATTTGAAAGTATCAAGTTATCAAGTAAAAATTAAGTTCAAACACAGATATCAGTCAACAGAAATAATAGCATTTTCGAAATGCATTTACACTACCATTCAAATCTGAGATTAGTAAAATTCATTTTATGTAGCTTTTTTTAATTCAGTAAGCATACATTGCAGTGATCAAACCTTTTCAATAAAAAAAATGCTATGTTTTTCTGGGAACACTTTATAAAAATATATCATTCGTTAGCAACAAATACTTCACTAGGTAACATTTTAAGTAAGAATGCTTTGTTAAAATACAAAATTACATTTATTGTTATATAAATTACAGTTTTATTTATTATTTAATTAATTTGATTTATTTATTTTTATTTTATTAATTTAAATTAGTTATTGTTCACTTAAAAACTAATGTGTTACCACTTTTTTATTATTACTTTTTATTATTATTTTACTACATTTATATTGATTAAAAAGTCCTTAAAAAATAATTTGACCAATGATCAAATTAACTGTTTGCTGTCCGCCAAATCAGCATATTAGAATGATATGAAAATGCTACAAATCTGAGTACTGGCAACCCAAAAAAAAAAATAAATAAAATAAAAAAAATAAAAAACATTTTTACCTTTTTGGTCTCACTTCATATTAAGTGGCCTTAACTAATATGCATTAAGACAAATTAGAAATTCATTACAATGTACCTACTGTGTAAATACATATTTTACAATGTTCTTACGCTAGATTCAATACCTGCATGTTATTACATCTATAATTCATTTCTGTAAAGACATTTATAATTACACTGTTGACCATTACTTACCCTTTAACTTACTTAACCCACATACCACCAAGCCTTCCCTAAGCCAACCCATATTGCAACTCAATAGCACAAGTGTTCTACAATACATTATCTACACATTAAGTATATTGTATTTATATTTTGATTCATAGTTAGAGCTGCTTAATATGAAGTGGGACCAAATCGGTTTTATCAAATAAAAAGCAGCCTGAATCTAAAAGATTTACAAAAACTTTTTTTCATCTTACAGTCCCCAACTTTGGTAAGATGTATGATCTGAAACCTGTTCATTTATTACACTAGCACACCAGTAGATAAGTGGCAAATAAATATCTTCAAAGCTAACCCACACAATTCACAAGCACTCTGATTTGACAAGGGTCATTTTAAGTGAACGCAGAGGTGTTTGGTTACTTATTAGAAAGTTTCAGAACAGTACAAAGTTCAGGGGTTGACATTTGACTCACCTGCACCCTTTTTACTTTACCTTTCCACAGCAGAAATCGCAAGAGTGACATTACCATTGTCACCTTCCTTTTTTAACATTCACTTTACAGTCATAATGAATACAAAGACAGTATCACACACAGGATTCTGCACTACAGTAGACAGCAAGACACGACGAGTTAAGGTTTCTGTCTAATTAGAAAGAGATGAGAACGGCTTCTGCCAGTCACGGGTTACTGGCTTAGAGTGAATGAAGAGAGGCCATGCACCAGTCTCTGTTAGTCTGTCATTAAAAAAACACTGAAGAAACATGCATATATGGATGAAAACAAAACAAATGAATTAAAAGAATCAAAACACACTCCGTTGTAAAATGCAAGTGTTCAAAGAGAGACCAAATTAAAAAGAAGACAAGGTCTGGGAACTTATCATGAACTATTTCATCAAGTTGCCGTGTGTCTGCTTGAACTCTATTTTGTTGACCTGAAGTGAACTTTAGATTGATTATGACTGGGTGATAAAAAAAAAGACAGTTTTGCTTTGTCTTTTTTTGTCTTTGATCTCTTTTTGACGATCACTTCACTTTAACAACACTCTAAGAGTCGGGGTTAAGATGGAAAAAAAGAAGAAAAAAAACATAAGAGAAAAAGAAAGACACAAAATAAAAGAAACAGACACCTTACCATGTCATCAGCCAATGTTTTTATGTGTATGTTCTGTTGAAGGGAAGGGACAACATAGAAATGAGGGCCTGTGAAATAAAAACTGCTGTGTCTGTGCAAGGGAGAACCCAAAATCCACATGCAATAAATTGCAAATATAAACAAAAGCAAAAAAAGCTTATCAGACCCTAAGCAAAGTACCAACTGCACAGCATGGAAAGTTTAACCCACTGCTGACACAATATAAACAGGCATACCCTCTGTTAGTAAAGTGGAGTCTGTTAACTAACAACATTATCAAATGTTTGTATACCAGCAGGAGTCATGAAGATCAATTATTTAATATAATTGACCATCAAATGTCCATCAAAAATTTGAAAAAGCAGAACTTTAGCTTTGATGAAGAAGTCTTTGAACAGTCACATTCTGCCCTGGGTTACAGCGGAGACAATACAGGAAGAGGAGACGGACCACTTGGAGAAAAATGATTAGAGGAAATAGCAAAACTCTTGCCAAGAAACTTTGATCCTAGTGGCTCTCCTTTCAATTCCATGTGTTCACTCCTGCAGATGAAGACTTTGAATAGTTGAAGATCATAATGTATGTACCCTTTTAACTAAAACTGGATGAAAATGGCTAAAGTTATATAATATACAAATATATCTTTTTATTTTAAGTTTAAATTTAAATGTCCAAATAGTCCGCGATGCTGAAAAGACCAGCTTTTAATAATAAAAAATCTTTTGGCACCCTGCAAAAGCTATCAAAAAATTGTGTACATCATTTTACTAAACACAAACAATACTGTAGTCATAACAAGTGTTGGACCCCACTAACTTAAAATTTGGAGGACAATAATTTGAGAAATTGACTTTGCATCTCTTTTAAATGCATTACTATTCTTTCTCTTGATTCGATTCAGACTTTACATTGTAAAAAAAAGTATCATTAAATTATTTATTTATATTTATATTACTATATTTTGTAATTGGTGTTTTATGTATTTATTTATTCATTTATTTATTTCTACTGTTGAATTGCATTACATGATATTTAATCAAACTTTTGATGTTAAAAAGTTAAAAAACAGACTATATATATATATATATATATATATATATATATATATATATATATATATATATATATATATATAATTTCTCATACAATATATATTTTAAATAGGGATGCACAATATATAGTTTCAGCATCGATATTGCAATGTGAGCATCCACAATAATCACATCGCAAAGACATGCAATGTTGAGTCTGAATTGTAGTTGACCATGATGAGCTACAGAATTATAATGATTACTGCATTTGTACAGAATTACAGAACAAATGCAGAATGTACAGAACAGTTTTTTTTTACTTCAAATTGTTGTTTTGTTTCTAGTCCAAGTAACTACATCTCAAAGTGAAAACATTATTATTTCACTTACCCCACTAGCAGATAATTTGGCTTGTTTCATTTCTTCTGATGGTAAAAACTAAACATTTCTATTTGCTTTAAGAATCTTATGATATTTGGATTATAGAAACAAGACAATACTAAGAAAGAAAAGCATTTTTGCATTGTGACTATTCAATTTCTGTATCTGAATACTGTTAGACTTCATTAGAAAACCATCAAATGGAGCTAATCAAATTATCTTGTGAAACTGTATTTGTACTTGTGAAGCTCTAATTTCAAACTACTAAAATGTCAATAAACTTAACTTAAACTGCAACTAAACTGCACAATTGAATTTTCAACATCAAAAGGCAAAATAGCAGAGATAAAGTTCCCATAATGCAATTCATAATTTAAAATAAACGGGAAAAAAAAGACAAAAGACAAAATACAACCTGTTAATTAGCAGATTTTTTACAGTTTACATTTTAACAGCAGATGGTGCTAAATGTTTTACAAACAGTCATACTCTTCTTATTCTGCTGTTAAGTCATACAAATCTGACTTAAACCTAAAATAGTCCTTAATAAAGTTGGAAACACTACAAGAGTGTTCATAGTAAGTGCTTGCATAAATCTTGTGATATAAAAGCCAACTTACATGACTCAACCAAACGCAAGGACTTATCCACATGTGCATTTGAGTGGTTAAATGCAGAGGTAAAGGCATAGGGCTCTATCTGCTCTTATAAACTAAGCTCAAAATCGAGAATCAAGACAGAATAACAACAATTCATTTTGAAAATCTCAGAATTGATGCATGATCAACTTTTTACCTCACCTATATACGGATGACATCCATTGGCCACGAAAGAAAGATTGGCTGATTTTAGAACCTAATGGACCAGTTATTTTATATTTTTTAATGACAATAAGTTTCAAAAGTTTAATTACATATTTACAACTGTTTATTTACATTTTGTTAATTTACTAAAGCAAAGTAACTTGAAAAGTACTGCTGCAAAAACAAAGTTTCAGATTTTGTCATAAAAGAACAAACACAGAGATTTCAGCAAAATGGCTAATAAAGAGAAAGAGAATTAGAAAGAACTACTGTGACTTTTTTGATAAAAATAGAAAACCAAAGTTGTCTTGCTGGTTGATCTAATCAATCAACCCCGCTAGTGACACCAAAACATCATCTGACACAATCTCATGCTAATTACCAGCATCCGAAACCAAACACATGCTGATCAATCCAGCAGGGAATGCTGAATCTCTCCATGAGCTCAAGCAACCCATTAGATTCATCTTTAAACCTGATCGGTCAGGCTGTATTGACCTCAAACACAATTTAGAAAAAACTAAACACACACACACACACACACACACACACCACTTCACAACTCCGCCTTCACTCACTTCCTAACAGATGTGCTTTATCTTTGTGGCTACAGCAGGGATTGGCGTTTATGAGATGAAGCACGCAGGGGGAGAGATGGGTCTCCATATGCCGTACAGAGCGGGATGAGTGTTAACGAGCACAGCTCCATGGAGAAGCTGCCATAAAGCAGGAAGTCCTGCAGGTTTGCTCACTCCATGGTTAATCTGCCAGCCCCCCGGTCCTGTGCTTAACCGGCCATTATAGCACTGCCCCAGGGCTGCAGCCTGCGCAGGGATATTGCAACAGTTGGATTTTGAACAGTTCCGAACGTTGGTGTCATGGGAGTGAATCATCAATAATAATAATACAATAATCTGTAATAACAAAGAACATTAAATGCTTTTAAAAGGGTCATAAAAAGGTTATTATAAAGCCCAAACCAAACTTGCCAGCAAAGACTTTCCCGAAAAGATATTGTTAAAATAATAATGGCCGAATTGGGATTATTGTTTTACAGATCAAACAGCCCGAAGTGGCTTCAGAGTGTAGAAACACGGACGTGCATTTGTTATTGAAAGTAATTAAAATCTTAAAATCTAATTAAAAACCATTTAACAACTTTGGGTAATTGTGTTTCGACTCTAGGGCTGGTCATTAATATTGCACCTCGACAACACATCAGACAGTCAACGGGGCCAAATATTGCATTATGATTTAACGACACACCTTCAGGGCTGCACAACTTTATTAAATTCTTTATCAAAATAAAGCTTTATTCATTACAGAAAAATCCCAAACCCCCACAATAGCAGCCCCCAGCTCTTACATAAAGAGCGACATGAATTGCGGTTGCGCAGGTCAACACATTACACAACTACTTAAGTCCAAGTAAACTCTTAAGATAGCTAATTGGAAACACTCGAGCAAATAGAACACAGCTTTTGCTTTGGAGAGCTGTGATATAAGGTTTTGACAGCAGAATTGAGGCATTACGGGTTCCACCACTAGGAGGCACACACCAATCAACACAAACACGTACAGTTGGTCAATCAATGTTTTACTAAAGCCATCAGAGAAATTCGAAGTCTCACAAACACGGCCAAAATATTTAAAAGGAGAAAGTAGCTTCTAGCGGACACCATCTGCTATGTTGGACTCGGGAAAACAAGCAAAGAGGATGAGGAGAGCAACAAAAAAAAGCTGTTGTAAATGCTTTCTGGCAAATCGGGTTATTTTAATTGGTCCTAATTGTCCTCGAACAATGGCTTGCTTGAACCTACGGTTCTTGGCAAATTTCTGCTTCTTAAGATCTGAGCGTTCAGTGGCCAACAGCTCCTCTTGTTCACACAGGGACGTTTTAATTAAACACAGAGCTAGAATGAGCGCGTCAAACCCCATAATAGACATACACAAATATCAGGCAAGATTTTGCACAGCCAAAATCAAGATATTAAAAGAATGGCTTTAGCTCATAAACTTTGGATGGCGATCCCGCAGTAGAGTACAGTAAAGCCCAGATTAAATATCAGCACTGATCTTGTACAGTGGACTGCTCTGCTCATAAAAGCTTTGACAACTATACTACAAAAATCAACACTGATTGTTGGTTGTATTTGCCCATGGAGTGTGAATAGAGGTGAACAGGATGCCAAACAATAGCCTGATGGGAAGAGAGACAAAGGTAATAGCACAAAGGGGTGGTTATGGTACAGCCAGGTAAATAAATCATTTAATGGATTTTTATGGATGTCAGTGGGCCCCAGCAACTATTTTTCAGTATAACTTTTTTGGTAATATGGAATTGTTCATATTTTATTTATCCAGTCTTAATGATATACTGTAATGCCTAATTGTAGTAGTTAAAATTAAAACTACCGATTTAATATTAAAACATTTTATCATATCGATTTTATCCATTCATCTACATGCTATCCATTAGCTCTAATGAAAAATAAAATATTTAAAAATTCTGCCATTTATAGTTTATTCATATCTTTCATTTAGCAGCTATAATATTTATCAGTTATAAAGAAAAACGTCAATATAATATAATATTAACTATGATGTTAATGTGCATCTAAATAAATAAAACAAAAATAAATAAATAAATAAATACAAATGAAAATTAAAAACAAAAACATTTACAAAATACACAATTTAAAAATATAAATACAAAAACAATTAATAATAAAATAACTAATTTAAAAATAAGCTAAGTTAAAAATATTAATGATAAACTAATAATAATAAATAAAAATGTATTCTAAATAAACCTAAA